GGTCGGGTTTGCCGTTCTTGTAAATTTCGCTGAAGTCGATGGTGTTGACAACCGGGTGTCCGGGCTCTCGGCCTCTCAATCGTCGTGGACGATGACGGCGTGGACTGACGGTCGGTCGTTTGCGCTTGAACGACTAACAGCGGTTAGTAAGAGCACTACCCAGATGGAAAGAAGATGTTAGGGGATGTGAGACTTACATCTTGTTGACGTTGCGCCTCTTCATAGTCACTCTCGACCTCGCCGCCATCCCAACATCCTTGGGCCGACTCTCCTTCAGAGTGCCAATCATCCATTACCCGGAACTCCGACTCGCCGCCTCCGTCTTCTTGCTCCCTCTCCGGTTTCTGTACCGGTTTCGGTTCGTCCTCCAAATCGGAGTCGCTAGCAAGTGGCAACATGTCTGGCATGTCCCCTTGCCCCTCGACCCACGCCTCTAGCGCGCTGACGAAGAAACTGTGTCTCATTTCCCAGTTCGATTCGAAGCCCAGGGGTCCCTCCTCGAGCTCACTCCTCTCTCTCGCGACTTCGGTCCTTCTTTCCGGCAGTGTCTGGGACCGCTCCTCATGGTTCGCGTCGATCAGGCGCTGTAACTCTGCATGTTGGCTGCGGAGGTCGTGCCACTCGGCCTGGAGCTCTGCTTCTCTCTCATCAATGGCGTCGCTGCGTTTGGCGTTTTTGGTTAAATTTTTTTTCATTATATCGATCTGAAGGAGGGCGCGACGACGACTCTCCTGCATCAGCGCGATCGCTCTGTCGGCCGCATCCTTCTTTCGTTGCAATCTGTCGGCCGCAGTCGAAGCCGCCATGACTTCATCCTCCATCTTGAGGTGTGATAGATCAGCCGCAAACGCAGGCGGCGGAACTAGGAAGGAGGATGACGTAGCAATCGGGAATGCCTGGTAACATTGGGAACAACGGGTGTGGATGACAGGAAAGTGAGAGAGTCGGGAAACCAAACGAGAGGCGTCGAGAATGCTGCGGTTGTGGTCTCTGGCGGTGAGGTCCGAGGGCACGCGTGATGCCGCCTGAAGTTCCAGAGGGAGTGAGTTGTCACATAGACAGACATGTCGCTTTCCCCTGTGTTTGGATAACAGCTGATGCCTGCAGCTACCTCACACAAGAAGCGACGCGTCCAATGGGCAACGCCAATCTCGTCTCGTTTCAGTTTGGGTTCGGCGAGTTGCAGCATCTGTTCCCGTTGACACCCATCATCGCAATCCAAGAGTGCCGGAAAGAGATCACACACCGTGAAAAGACATGTTACAAACGACAAGCTGAACCACTGATAAGATCACACTCAGGCTGGACCCCTACCTCCCGTTTGCGTTGCTCCTCCCCAGCCGGAACCAGAGCAGCAAGTTAAGCGGCAGGAAGCAGACAGAGTGCGGCTGGGAGCAGTGGGTCCCCTCTGTAGACATGAAAATGGGAAGGTGCAAACACGCAACACAGAATTTTCACCTGACATACCTACCTTACCGCATTCAGCTCCCTCTCGCAAGTTCGCCAGCATTGGGCGACTGAAATATGGTCCACGTGCAAATAACAACCAGCTTCGATTTCAATCCTAAACTTTTTCCCCTCGCAGTTCCTTCAACCCATGATTCCAACTCCTTCCCATTGGCCACTCCTTCCAAACCACGTGCTTTTTGTTTGCTCCCTACCCCGGCAATGAAAACTGATCGAAATCTGCACCCACTGTTGCTGAAAAGCCGGAAAACTGCGGCTGAACAACAAACCGCCGCGCCTTCCAGCATGCAGCAGCCCCAACAAGATCCTGCACCCGCCCGATTAAACCTCCTGTCCAACCAGTATCGCCCCCGCCGAGCGGGACTGCCTCCCGTTAGAACTTCCGCTTGCGCCGTGAGGTCTGTGGCGTCTCTCCCACTTCTCGCGCAACAGACACCCGAGGCGTTTGCGATTGAGAGGCGCTTTCGTTTAAGGCCGTCCTCTCTGTGCTCGTGGTGGGTGGAAGATCGAGTTGGTTCTGAAGACTGCGCAGGGTTTGAGTCGCGTCAGTTTCCGACGCGAGTGGACCTTGGCCGCCTGAGACGACGTGGATGGTGCTTCCGCTTCGGTTCCGTTGGCGCTGGGTGGATGCAGCGCGTGAGTTGTGGGGTTCCTGGGCCTTGTTGGGCTGGGGCTGTTTCCGTTCACGGATGTCCGCCGTGCGGCCGCGCGTTTGGGTGCTCGTCTGGCTCGGGTCTTGTGGCTCGACGCTGCTGAGGATGGACGGCGACCGGAGCTGCCTTGACGGGGTCAGAGTCGTCCTGAAGCCTTTTGAGAACCAATTCAGCTTGACCAAGTCATTGTTTTCGCTGGCCTTGGTCTTGTCACAGTCGACGACGCGAAATCCAAATTCTCGGATGATATCCGACAGGGTCGCCGCTTGATGGCCGTGCATCTCGGCCATGTGCTTCTTGGCGGCCTTGATCACGAGCTCTGGAATCCGGTTGAACCTGTTCTGGTGTTGCGTGCAGCGAAGCACGTAGAATCCGGGCTCGGTCACGTCATTCGCCGTTTCCAGTTGGCCAGGTGGCGCAGGGGCCGGGGCCTCGGCGAGTTCAATGATGCACTGAATCTCGGAGTCCACCATGTCCCCGTCCTGGAACAAGTCGGCATAGTTCACTTGTCGTTGGGGGGGGGCGGGGCCTGGTCTGGCCGTCTCCTGATCTCGTTCATCTGCCGACTTATCCTCTGCTTCTAGAACTGTGCGCGCCCTCTTCTGCGGTCGAGCCGATTCACTGCCGTTATCTACCCCAGCGGTGTTGCACGCCCGGGTTGTGAAGGTAGGCTGTTTGTTGCAAATCAGCGATTCTCCCCGTCAACGTGCGATTGGGCCGGCTGTTTACCCGAGGGTGACGTGCCTGGTGGGGCTGGGATGCAGCATTCGCAACACTCTGGGCACCGCTTGCGTTTGTAGCGCCAGCATGAAGGGTTTGGCCGTCGATGTAAGGACGAGAATAGCCAGGCGGAAGCCCGAGCATCGGCACCGGCGGTCCCAGTTGATGCTCAGGGATGCCGCTGAGTTTTCGGCGGATGTAGACCTGGTAATCGAACTTTTGTTTCCGAATCCACTCCACAGCCTGATTCATTGCCGTGTCCACCATTTCCAACTCCCGCCCCATGCCGGCCTTGTACTCGAAGTGGCGCCTCTCCTCCTCCTCGTGTTTCTTTTTCTCGTGCTGCAAACTGCGAAGTTGAATGTTCAGTTCACGGATCTGTGCCCCCAGCTCGGCAAGTTTTCTCTCGAGACGCGCCCCTTCTTCCCGGAGTTGGGCTTCCTTTTTTGGCCAAAGGTCGGAACGGAACTCTCTGTGGAAAGCGCGCTTCTGCTCCTCGGCCAACCGGAATTGGGCGTCGATATGTCCCAGGGCTCTTCGGTCGCTGGTTTCTATGCAATATTCAAATTGCTTTTGGATGCCTGGATTTGCGCTCAACACCATGGGAGGCCCCATGGGTGCCAGCAGCATGAGCGGTGGGGGGTTTGCACGTTGCATGATGGCACTGCCGAAGCAACAGAGGTCAATAATGGGCGATGTGGATGAGCAAGGTATTGAACGGGTGAGACGACTGCGATTACTCTTATAGATGGTGCGTGCATGGTCAACTCTGAGTCCCCCTCCGTTTTCCAGCCGAAGATGGGGTGCCATTCTGATTTGATGAGATGAGTGTGGACGCGGGGGGCGGGATAACCCCAACGGATCATGTCCGATCGATCAGTTCTCACTTTGCGAGCAGCAGCTAGCCCGCTGCCATCCTGAGACACGCGGGAGTGTTGTTTCGGTAAGCCCGCACTGTGCCACCTGCCATCAGGAGCGTTCCTAGGCTGATGCGTCGCGACGGCAAGGCGGAGATGTCTATTCAAGTTATTTTTCCGGAAGAGACTTGCAGACCAAACTACCCAACAACATCAGATGCGAGCTTGAATCCATTTGATCGCAACAACGATCTTTCCGTCAAATCCATCTAGATCCCTTGCTTGTCGGTCGCAGGTGGCGCTCACGGTGACGAGCTTCCCGTTGTAAGTGACGGGAGCTGGCACATGGATGCCGGCGGGAATGTGGCAGTGTCTCTCGGGTTACCGGCTCGGATGGCGTCGGTCAAGCTGGCCAGGCAGTACGGGTTTCTCAGCCTCGAGGCCGCAAATCTACCCCCTGTTGAGCGCCAACCCTGGATGTGGAAGCCGTCGGTTGGGGATTCTGAGATGGTAGCACAACCACCACATCCTGGCGTGACCAGCACCCAGCATTTCCCTTGATGCGCCGGCTTTTCTGGGCCGTCCAAAGCAGACGGAATGGTGATTTTCAGCGCACACAGAGGCTCTTCGTCTGTTGCAGACAGGAGCACAGCCTGTTTGGTCTGAGCGACGGCCGTGTCCCGCTCGTGCCACAAGTGCTGCGGATGCAGCTGGATCTAGCGAGCTATGGGTAAAGGAGGAGTTGAGCTTGATTCGAAGACCAGCTTCCATACCTAGGCGAGTTGTCTTATTGTCTTTTACGTGCGAGCGCAGTTGTGGACACCGCTTTTCCGTGCCTGCGCGCATTTATCCCCTCGATCTTGCGGAATCCCGCTTTCGTCATAGCCTGCTTGGAGTTGGTCGTCATATCGCCAAACGTCACTTTCTCATCGCCCCAGGTATGCAAAACGATGAAGTACTCGACGTTGGTGGGTCTATGATGGAACTGGAGCGAGTAATCGTTAGCATTGATGAAGTATGTGTTTGTTTGGCCGGTTGGCCTGGCAGGCAGACGTCGTCGAGAGTTTGAAGCAGGTCCGAACGGGGAACTCACCGACGGCAGGAACGAATGGATGCCCGTGCAATGACTCAAGCGGGGCAAAGCAAAATTTGTGCAGGTGCAACTTCAGCTTCCACCAATGGATTGAGAGAGAGAGAGCAACCTAGTCCTTGATCTTTGGCAAACCTATATCACCGTCTTCACAGCGCAAAAGCAAAAGGCTGCAAAAAAGGACTCGAACAATCTCAAAATGAGATGATTTACTGACAAAGACGAGATTCGAACTCGCGCCCCATTTCTGAGACCAGGATACACTTTTGGATGCTCAATTCAGGTGGACCTGAACCTGGCGCCTTAGACCGCTTGGCTACTTTGCCTTTGATGAAAATTCAAGTCGGAGAAGTTATTCAAGTAGGTACAGCAGGGCTTGCTGAGAAATTGAAAGGCCCGAAATCTGACATGAGCGATCTTCCGGACAATCACAGGTTCTTCAAGTTGATGGGCTCCGCCTGAGTGGGCCGGAACGTGTTGGATTCACTCATATCGCCATCACGGAATACTGACAATCCAGGAACACCTGATCTTGAATCTACTCTTAATCCGGCTCGTGGAGGGAGGATAACACCCATCAACATGTGCGGATAAGCAAAGAGAGCTGCCAACCGAGAACGCAAAGAGTTAACATTCATTCCCTAAAATGAAACCTCAATCGCCGACATCTCCGACCCCGGCAACGCCTTTACACTCCTGATTTCCAACCCCGGATCCACCTCCCTAAACAACGTCTCCCAATCATCCATCGACCGCTCGCATCCCCCAGGCACAGAAGCATACATCAACAAATCCATCGCCCTCAGCTGCGCCTCCTGATACCCTGGAATCTCCCTCGGCCGACTCGGCAACACCCTCTCCACAACAAACAACCTCGCCCCCCTCTTCATCCCCGGAACCAACCTCCTCACAATCTCCACACACTTTTCATCGCTCCAATCATGCAACACCCTACTCAGCACATACGCCCTCACCTCCCCCTCAAACCCCACCGCCCCGGGCTGCTCCCCAAAAAAATCATGCCTCTCAAACTTCACCCTCTCCTCCCCCAACCCCACCCTGCGCATCAACTCCCCAAACGGCCCCCGATTCTTCTCCAACTCCTGCACCACAAACCTCAACCCCGGGAACTCCTGCGCCACCGGCACGATGTTATGCCCGTTCCCGCCGCCCACATCCACCACGACCCCCTCCCCGAGTGCCGCCCAGTCAAAGCTCACGACAAAGTGGCGATTGCTCTCGCCGTGCATGCCCACCATGGCAGCCTTCATCGCGTCGGCGAAGCGCGCCATGCCCCTTTCCTCGGGGTCGTCCTCGTGCAGGATGGTCCACATGTCTCTTCCCTTCGGGTCGGCTTTGGAGAGGGGGCAAGCAGGCCAGTTGCGGACGGCCCAGGCGAAGTGGTGGGATGCGGATTCGAGCTGGGTTAGTTGGCCGAGTTGAAGCCAGAGGTAGGGGCCGTAGGCGGGGATTTCGGCGGATAGCGGGGTGTGGGCGACGTGGTCGGGTTGGTTGGGGGGTTCTTGGAAGAGGTGCATGGTGTAGGCGAAACGGAGGAGGCGGCGGAGGGGGACGGGGTGGGCCGAGACCTTGGCGGCGAGGTCGGGGATGGAGATGGAGGAGGCGAGGGGGACGGCGGTGGGGATGGCGAGCTCGTGGAGGGTGCGGAGGACGTTGACGGCGGTGCGGTCGACGTTGGTGATGGTGCGGAGGGTGTCGGCGGGGCCGAGGGCGAGGCGGTGGAGGGTGAGGGAGGCGTCGAGGAGCTTGGCACGCGCGGCGAGGGCGGGCGGGTTGAAGAGGATGTCGTGGTAGTTGCGCCGGCCCGAGGGGGAGAAGGCGGGGTGCGGGAGGGAGTGTTTGTCGAGCTCGGCTTGGAGGGCCGTGGCTTCGCGGAGGATCTCGGTTGCGAGCTCGACGAGGGTTGGGGTTGGGGGAAACTCCATGGTGGGCAGTGGCGTTGTTACACAAGTGTTTGTGACACGGGAAGGTTGGTGATGTTCAAAGGGGAAGAAGTTCGAGAACCCCTCATCTCGATGTTTAGCGGGGTCGGGATGTAAGGACAAAGCCTCAGCTCTGACTGGTACAGATAAGCGGGGATATTGACACATTGGGACTAGACATCATGCAACACCATGCAATGTTGGGACAACTTAGCTGATATGTCCCGTCCTGCGTCTCTCTTCGCGCCGGAATCCGGCCGGCGTGACAGCTCGTTGTCCACCGCCAAGGCCGCCCAGCAAAACACAGTCTTGACCCATCCTCACAACTCCATTCGCAACGGTGACACCATCAAGCTGGGCAACGACTGCACTAACATGGGATCGTGGTTGTGTGAACTCGTGAGTGACGGCCACAGCACACTTGGGCATCGCTTGACGGAGGAAAGGGAAGAGCAGGCCGCATGGTCGGCAGGCCACACTTCCGACGAACCAGCCATCTCTTCCATGCAAGGAGCGGTTTCCTGTCGCAGCAGTCCCTGTTGACGTCTACATACGCGCAAGCATCGTATCCATGTCGAGTCTTGTCCTGTTTCGCCGCGCGTTTTGCCCTCGATGGCGTCAAGGATCCCTTCGTACAACACGAGCCCGAAGGAGCGCGACAGCTTCTTCTCGAACCCGAGGAGGTGCCACAGCATATTGTCAAGACAGCGTGCAAGTTTTTCGGCGCTGTCCCGCGGGCCAAGATGGCCATCATCGGGTCCTGTCCACACGGGGCGATGCGGCTCGCGGTGACTAGCTTCACAATGGTCATTTTCCACTTGGAGTTGCCGCCTGGGAGTGGACAAACGGCGCACATGGTCATCGGGTGCCATCTAGGATGGTTGCGTAATACCACGTCTTCTTGGGTGAACTCGGAAGTTGTGGAAAGCACAAGGCGGCGCAAGGTACGGTGCGGCAGCGACTGCCACTGCGCAGGCAGCTGAAGGCAAAGGCGATGCTTTTCGGGGCTGAGCAAGGCCCGAGGCCCACAAACAATGAGTGACGAGATCATATGGTAGAAATCCCCCAGGACGGACGCATCGACCCTCCTACGGGGTACTCGGTAGGAGCCCTGGTAGCAACGGGCGTCGGGGTCCTTGACGAGGCGGACTGATACGACAACAGTGCCTAGCTTGCGCGCTGCTGGAAAAGGGCAGTATGTCCATGTTGGCCAAATGCAACCACCACAAAATATCATGAAGTCGAGCTCGAAGGGTGTTGTGGCCGCCCGCTTGGAGAGGCTGTGGACATCGTTGCGCAGCGTCTTGCACGTCTTGTGGATCGATGCGACGTCGACGATCGGGTTTGGCGGGGATGGCGGGACCCAAATACTGCAGTTCAATTCGGGGCAGAGACGAAGATAGTCAGGGCAATCGCGTGGAGACTGAGGAGCGGTCTGATGCAAAGATGTGGCGATGAACAGAATCTTTTGTCGGATCTCTGCCGGCAGGTCCAGAAAGGACACTATGATGCGTTTTTCGATGGCGGCCCAGGAAGGAGAGTTTGTCAAGAAGGAAGCCTTGCGAAGAGGAGAATTTGCAAGGTTTGCCAGGCCGTGGTGGGAAAGAGGAGAGGGCGGTGGGGTAGCAGCGCATGCGACGCCAGGTGGAAAGTTTGAGCTCTATTCCCCATCTCGGACCTGGGACTCCCCACTCCTCATTCCCCAATCTTCCACCCACCGTGACGAGGTCGAAGAAAAGGGCACAACCGCTCGACAGAACGACAACGCCCCTGTGAACAGATGAAGAGGACTGGGTTTCAGATGCAAAAACGCATTGTAGGGATCACTGCCTTCCATGACAACGATCTTAAGAAGTCGGGTGTAGTTAAGACAAGAAGCAGGCATGGGTTCAAGTTCCTCCCTAAAGACGGTTCGGCAAGAAGCAAACTCCCGTCATTTCCAGGTTCCAGTCTTCGACCGCGTGCCACCCGTTACACCACAGTCCCAATATCAACCCATGCTCCGATTCGGCAAACGGCCGGCCACCCATCTCATCTCAGCACAAACGCAACGCAAACTTACTGGTTCACCCCTTCCATCATCCCAGTCCCTGACCCAACAACACGGCTTCTTCCTCTCATCCCGATTCCCACTCGACCACTCCAAGTCCCCCACCGCAAAGAAGAATTCATATATCAAAACATCCCTGTCGCCGGGCAGCGTCACACTCAGGTTTGCCAGCAAGATCTTCTGGTTCGTAAAGGGCAGCTGGGTAGCCTTTTGGGTGGGGAGAAATCGAACGACAGCAGATACAGTAGGTACATTTCAAGTCACGTACGGGACTGAGGGAGCTTGAGAAGAATGAGCTGCCCTGAGCACAAGATGTTCATCCGAGGTCCACATGAGGGAAGTATTTATCTCGCCCGACGCCTTATCCTTCAGTTATATCCCGCCAGGCTTTGGCCCCGGACGCTTCTGATTTGACCTCAACCCTGTGTCCCAACTTTCAAGCTTTGGTTAAGTCTGGTGCCTCATGGGAAACCTTTCCAAGATTGAGCGCCCCACTCCCACAAACGGCCTACTGCCCTTTGGATGGCGAATGAGCCTTTTGCCCCTTGCACCGCCTTCTTGGGCGGAAATGAAGCGATTCACAAGTCCACCCTTGGCGTGCAGCCCTGCCAAGACTGCGCTGCAACCAAGAGTGAGGGGTCAAGTTTCCAGCCAATCAGCCTCTTCCGGTGGAACCTTGAAACCAACAACAACGCCCCAGACGAATCCTTCAAGCGCGTAATGGAACGGCGGTCCTTTTTAGTGGCGGCAAGACACCCAAGAGGGCGGAAACTGTGCCTCTTGGGGGTAATTCGAGTCCCTCTGCCAGCAAATCGACCGCGACCGGGGGCGGCCGCCTACCACAGCCTGGGCGCTGGGAAACCTCAAGATGGGCACGTCCCTTCCTTCCCTCCCCACCATCATCACCTTTTTGCTCCTTCCCCCCCGCTACCACCGCTCCATTCTGTGTTACCGGGGACCGACGGGACGACTTTGGATGCCGCGACGGCGCATGCGGTTTCCATAAATCGCAAATCGAGAATTGACAATGGCCCCTCCCCAACGATTCTCCATCTGGCGCGCAGTCTGCTGGCTCAGCTGCGCGCTGCAAACCGTCACTGCGTTGTCCGACGCTCCCACCCCCGAGAACTTCATGCGCCGCGGTCTCGCACGCACCATCGTCCTCGGCAACTACCTCTACATCGACGGCGGCGAGGTCTCGCAACTCCTCGACAATGGAGAGTTCAACGGCCCTCGACCCTCCAACATGGTCAACTCGACCCTCTCCATCGACCTCACCACCTCCTGGTCCACCTCCGGCGTCGCCATCCGCTCCATCCCCAAACCCGCTCCC